TGACATTACCATCGTGAGTTGTATGTATGTTGACATTACCATCGTGAGTTGTATGTATGTTGACATTACCACCATGAGTTGTATGTATGTTGACATTACCATCGTGAGTTGTATGTATGTTGACATTACCACCATGAGTTGCATGTATGTTGACATTACCAACATGAGTTGTATGTATGTTGACATTACCACCATGAGTTGTATGTATGTTGACATTACCACCATGAGTTGTATGTATGTTGACATTACCATCGTGAGTTGTATGTATGTTGACATTACCACCATGAGTTGTATGTATGTTGACATTACCATCGTGAGTTGTATGTATGTTGACATTACCATCGTGAGTTGTATGTATGTTGACATTACCACCGTGAGTTGTGTGTATGTTGACATTACCATCGTGAGTTGTATGTATGTTGACATTACCATCGTGAGTTGTATGTATGTTGACATTACCACCATGAGTTGTATGTATGTTGACATTACCACCATGAGTTGTATGTATGTTGACATTACCACCATGAGTTGTATGTATGTTGACATTACCACCGTGAGTTGTATGTATGTTGACATTACCACCATATGAGTTGGTTGATAGAATCGTTGATCATATTTGATCAGGAAGAAAAATTTTTCATTCAAAATATTTAATTAATGGTTAAAAAAGTCATTATACAGTTCAAATAAGTTAAAACATGCAAAATATGTTATACGCTAGTGATTCGAAACCTTGTTAATTCAGTGTTAAGCTTGTTAAAAACTTGAATGCGTTTTCAGAACTAGAACGATAATACTAAATATTTCTAATTCTTCTGATCTTCGATAGGGTTCATCTCTTGGTTGATAAGACTCACACCAATATTCGTCAAAATCCATCAAGAATTGTGCCTTATAGAGTGTTTACGAACATTTCAAGAACAAGGACAATAATTCATACTAAATATTTTTCGATTTTCTGATTATCAATAAGGTTCATCCATGTGTGATTACAAACAATCATACCAAGTTTCGTGGAAATCATTCACGAATTGTGCCTTGTAGAATGTTTACGAGCAGCAATTGTGGACGGGCGGACGGACCGACGGAAATGGGTGACGGCAATATACGCGCCCACATTTATTTTACTCAAATTCGTACAGTAGTTTTTCTTATTACGTTATGTTTTTAAATATATTTGGTGTTTCAAAATTAACGGCTGGATTCTTTTAGTTAGAAGTTTCAGATATGCTAAAGGGCACATTTCTCTTGATTTTGGTGTTTAGTTTTCACAAACTTGAGAAAAAAAATTTCCGACCTACAAAAAAGCAGCTTAAACTTGTTTTGATGTTTGGCATTAAGAATACGTGGGAGATGTATTTCTCTTGAAGAAATGGCAATATCTCAAGTCGCCAGTCGTCCATCAGCTATCACCCTTTCATGCATACGAGTAAATAGTTTTTCCGGAATGGTTGTTTAAGGTCTTTCTGGACACAGGTATCTCTGCTATTGAGGTATCTTTACCTTGCTTACCGTAGCCCACTTGGATGAATCTGGATGAATGCTGGATTTCGGGGAAGGGAGGATTTGATTATCCCAGATGTACAGGTTGAGGATGGAACAAATATTTTATTTAGAAATCGGAATAAGTTTTGATGGCCGTATTACAATGGCTCACGTACGACATATTTCACTTATAATTTTGAATTAAAACCATTAATTTTCGCCTTGGCGAAAACAATTATATCCTAGGTGAAAATTTATTTTCACAAATTAAAAAAGAAAAGAAAGTTTTTAATTCAAAATAAAAAGTGAAAAATGTCGTATGTGAGCCACCGTAGATGGCTACCCTTTAGCCTATACAGTTTTGTCAATATAATAGAAAAACATAAGGGAATATATATTATGGTATAAAACACTTGTTTAATAACAAAGCATATAACGTTTCAACACAATTTTTACGTGTCGTCATCAGATGAAATGAGTGGGGAAAAGTGGAGAAGAAGCAGGCAATAACAGAATAGTTTCGTCATTGTCCGGTGATTGCAGTGGGTAGTTTAACAAGACAATGATAACACTTAAGTTGCAGTCCATATGTCTATGATTCATTAAATGAGTGTAATTGGTGGCAAAAGTTTGTTTCAATCCGATCAATTTTCTACACCCTACACCACACTGGACACCGGACTTCTTCTATTAGAAATTCGATACGCATGCAAAAAAATTCTGGTTTTGGTTGCATTTGTATTAGGCACCGAAGTAGTCACAATGAGTCGAAATCTTTAGCCATATTTTATATTTTAGTCGTCGTCCAGTTTTTTTTTTCAACTAGTTGAAAACCCTTATGCAAGTAGTCGTCAAGAATTTGCAACTCGCCGTCGAAAATTTAGTTATTTACAATCCCTTTAAGAACTGCACTATTATTAAATGTGTTACTGTAGAGAAAACGCGTAGAAAAAATGACTTGACAGGCGTTTTCAATTTATCATCATAAGCTGCTATCAAAAATTTAATCTGCATTTGTCATATGTATTTTTAATGTGTCAGAACATCTGCTATATGAGCAACAGAAATGCAATCGATAGCAGAGAAAACTAGAACTATAAACTGAATGATTGAGATGTCCATCGTGGTGGGGTATTAATTAGTTCTATCAATTTTTACAAATTGAGTTTTAATTTCTTGTTCTTGTGCAATTGCAATTGACAAAATTTTAAATGTTTGCTTTTGAGGTCGGATCTTCGGGGCTAGGTTAGCTCTCCGAGGCCAGGACAACCCTCACGGGTTAGGTAAGTTCTCCAAGTTTAGGAGACAAGGATAGCTCTCTGGGGTTAGGATCACTTTGAGGGGCTAGGTTAGCTCTCTGGACCTGATCGGTTCCTCGGGGCTAGGGTAAATCTTAGGTGTTAGGACAACTGTTAGGGCTAGGTTAGTTTTCAAAGGCTAGGTTAGCTTTCGGGGCTAGAATAGCTCTCTGGTCTGGAGCTAGGAAACCTCTCTGGGCTATGATAACTCTGGTGGTCTAGGTTAGCTCTCGGGCCCATGAATCTCTCCGTAACAAACTAGGATAACAATTGGGTGGCTAGAATGACTTTGAGGGGCTAAGTAAATTCTCCAAGGCTAGGATAACTAGGGGCGTCTAGGATAACTTAATGGGGCTAGCTTCCCGGGCTAAGGCTGAGGGTCTAGGATAACTCTGGGTGGCTAGAATGACTTTGAGGGGCTAGGTTAGTTCTCCAAGGCTAGGATAAGAAGGGCGTCTAGGATAGCTCTCTGGGATGTCCTCATTCAATGCACTGAACTGAAACCCGCTCGTAAGCCACTGACAGAGTACCTGCAAACCAACGGCATACCACTTATCATACAGAATGGTTTGGCTCCACCCACTGACCACTGGTATACGATAATGGAACTAGTCTTCCATTTTATAACCAAATCTGTCTTGAACAGATAGGCTAAGTTTTTATACTCAAAGTTTCTTAATACTTTTTAATTATATCCAATCAATTTAACAAGTTTCATTGCAGAAACATCAGAGAACATCCTTCCCCCTTTTGTTGAAAGCTTCCCCACCCCCCTTTTTATTTTTTTCCTTCCCTCTTTTCTCACTTTCTTTTTTTTTTCTTTTTTTTTTCAGGTCTTCTAGTTTTCCAACAGATAACAGATAATCTAACCAAACCAAACCAAACCAACGACTACCATTCAACTACCAATCAACTAGAAATACCGTGATCAGAACGAGTTTGGAAGAATGAAGGAGATCGAGTAACTCAGGCCACACCATCCAGGGCCGAGTTTCACCGCCATGTCATTCGACCCGACCAGATCTAACGAAGAATCAACAACCAAACCAACAACACAGAATCATCCAATTTGATCCAATCCAACACCAACTACTACGACTACCAACAACTACCTAGTTTGCGATATCAGCATCCGCTGGAAGCGAACGTTAACTTGTCATCTACCTGCCTACCTAGCTCTCTGGGGCTAGGATAACTTAATGGGGACAGCTCCCTGGGCTAAGGCTGAGGGTCTAGGATAACTCTGGGTGGCAAGGTTGACTTTGAAGGGCTAGGTTAGTTCTCCAAGCATAGATAGCTCACCAAGGCTATGATAAGTATGAGGGGCTAGGTTAGTTCTCCAAGGTTGGGTTAGCTTTCTGGTGCTAGGATTGCCCTCCGGGGCTAGGTTAGTACTCCGAGGTTGGGTTAGTTTTCTGGGTAGGATTGCCCTCCGGGGCTAGGTTAGTACTCCGAGGTTGGGTTAGCTTTATAGGTAGGATTGCCCTCCTGGACTAGGTTAGGATTGTTCCCTTGGGCCATGCTTACCCTGGTGGGCAAGGTTAGCTCTCAGGGCCCAGGAATCTTTCCGTAACTAGAGTAACAACTGGGTGGCTAGAATGACTTTGAGTTCTCCAAGCTTAGGATAACTAAGGGCGTCTAGGATAGCTCTCAGGGGCTTGGATAACTTAATGGGGCTAGCTCCACAGGCTAAGGCTGAGGGTCCAGAATAACTCTGGGTGGCTAGGTTGACTTTGATGGGCTAGGTTATTCTCCAAGCATAGATAGCTCACTAAGGCTATAATAAGTATGAGGGGCTAGGTTATTTCTCCGAGGTTGGGTTAGCTTTTGGGGCTAGGATTGCCCTCCGGGGCTAGGTTAGCTTTCTGATGCCAGGTTAGGATTTCTCTCTTGAGCCATGTTTACCCAGGGGGTCTAGGTTAGCTCTCTGGGGTTAGGAAAACTCTGAGGGGTTAAGATATCTCTCCAGGGCTATAAGTCTGAGGTGCTAGATTAGTTCTTCAAGGTTGGGTTAGCTTTCTGGGTAGGATTACTCTCCGGGGTAAGGTTAGCTTTCTGGTGCTAGGTTAGGATTGCTCTCTTGAGCCATGCTTACCCTGAGGGGCTACTCTGAGGGGTTAAGATATGATAAATCTGAGGTGCTAGGCTAGTTCTCCTGGGGCTTGGACAACTCTGGGGGGCTACGATACGTCTCAATGGCAACGTTAACTATCAGACCAGTGTTTAAAACAAATTTATTCGCATTATCATTTTCTGTGGAATTTCCAGCACCATTGGATCTCATAATCACTGAAAATAAAAACAAATTATTTTAAACTTTTATTAAAATCATTCTTTAGATACCGGTGACAGCACTGGGAGTACCAGTGAACACAATATAAACAACAACATTATTATAGCTATGTGGACTGCATGAAAAGGATGCAAAGTTTATGAACCTATATGTGCCCAACTAGAAAAATGGTTTGTACCCCAATCGTACCCTTACTTCATTTTTAACAAATTCAAAAATATCATTTTTATAGGCTTTCAGCAAAAAATATGCATCAAGATCTCAAGAAATATTGATGGCTATGTGAACTCTCTGAAAGGCTTGACGTGTTATGCTCCGTTCACACCAACGGCGCTTTGATGGCGCTTTAAAGCGGCGTACAAAGCGGAACCAAAGCGTAACAAAGCTCGACTATAGCGCCAGGGTCGTAATAGATCGTTGGAAAGCTTTGAGCAAAGCTGGATATTCGGCAAGAGCGCCAAAATTTTTTAAACTGTTTTTATAACAGAAAACAAAAGGGAATATATTATGGTATAACACACTTCTTTAATAACAAAGTACAAAACATTTTAAGACAATTTACAGTCATCATCTGATGACGACGTGTGTAAAGTGTGATAAAACGTTATGTACTTTGTTATGAAAGAAGTGTGTTGTACCATAATTGCGAGGCAAATCGAAATATCGATGTTATGCAATTGATTTTTTTTGTCTCTAAAACAAACTGAAAATGGTCAAGTATTTCTGTTTTGACCAAAGATTTTTAAATAGGCTGGAATCATAAATGATTGAAATTTTTGCTAAACCGGAAGTAACATATGGCTTAAAATTTGGTTTGGAGGCTGTAGAGCTTATATGTGGTCCAATTTACCTCAGGTTTTCTTTTTTGTGCTCTTTGTAACAAGATGTATGGAATGCAATTGAAAAATTCTTAAAATTTTGAAAAATTTTATAGAGAAAAAAAAATGCATTATAAATTGGAAATTTTCTACTTAGGCGCTTATTATCCAAACGATCTGAAAATCATAGGATATAGACAGAATGTCAATAAAAATAAAAAAAAAAAAAATATGTGATCAAAAGTTTTAAATCACTTCCGGTTTCTCAAAATCAGGTTGGGCGACTCTCCTCCGGTGTAATTCTCATATGTGGACAAAAACCATATAGATTATCTATAATAATTAAGTTGAATCATTTAACAAGAAAAAAATCAAACCGGAATTGTCGCATTCACTGAGAGTTGTGTAATTTCGTAGAATTTAATGATTTCTCCATTTAACATCTGATTTGTAGGAATTTAGTGTATATCAAAACCTGGTTACTTTATCTAAAACTAGTTGGGAACAGACTTTTGAATTTCGAATTAAATATTTTTTATATCCGTTGGAATCTTTCGGAAATTTGAAAGTCTATATCTCAGCGACCTTGACGTTAATGACCTTGAATTTTTCAGTGTAGGATTTCCTTGACCTCATCTATCTATAGATATGCTGATATTTGATGAAAAACATTAACTTCTGGATAAATAGCCCATCGAAATCTGACATTTTGCAACTTGCGACTATACCACATTCTCTAAAAAAACAGGTGCTTTATTTTTTTTTTCAAAATATTAATGGCCTTAAAATTCTCTTTGAAATGATATATGGCAATAATGAATAAAAATATTTTGCAAAAAAAATTAACAACAGCGTGGTTTACATTATTAGAATGCATTCGGAATTCTCTCTTAAACGATATGTCATATGGATATTTTGTTATAAAAATTCAAATCATTAAATTTGGATAAATTTGAAAATATAAATAAAGATTTTATTTGTTATCTCATAAAATTCTCATGATTGACAATGGTTAAGTGTGTTATACAAAACTGTTGGTTTGAACTTTCACACCATCAGTGAACCAGACAATGAGTTAATCTGATTAGCCAATATTTTATCCCTCAAACTTCCTGGGAATTTAACATAGTATATTCTCTTACATTCTGAGATCTCTCGAGGGCAATTTATTGAATGTAAATGGAAGATTTAAATAATATTTATAAATACCAGTCAGCATGATGACAGAACCTAACTAGTCGACAAAAGTTGAAAGCTAACAGGATAGAAGTTTCAAAAGGTTTTGAACCCATGGGATATGGTCTCGTTGCCACGCTGTTCACAGTTCTAGTTTATTCCCTGTTTTCTGTTTAACAAACAGTATGATACCGGTAACTGTGTACTGGTTGGACTATTCCAGTGCAGAGTGGCATCACGTGATGCTATTATTGAATATGAAGAATAATCTTACGTCAAAACCTGAAAAATTATTTTTCCTTAATAATATGCGGTTTATAATCTGGTTTCACAGCCTCAGCCAGTTCCTCTGCATACAGATCTAATCTCTGCGTCATCTAAAGAGAAAAACAACATTATAATTGGACCAAGAAATAAGTGCCCGTCAAGGTACAGTGTCGCCTATGTTGGAAGGGGTTGTCGCAAAAAAATTTTGAATTTAAGGGGTCAAGAATTAATTTTTTTTGTGACTGAATTAAATCCTGTATTTTATGCAAATTGAAAGAATATTCTTTCAATATTATGACATTTTTTGCACTAAATGAATGTGCAACTTTTTGGAGGCCTGGGAGCAGCCACTTTCTAAATGCAATACTTAATTATTGCATTAGGTCACATGACACCTTAGAGGGTTCTCGCTATGGAGAAGTCGGATATTTATGCTCAGTGTTCTTACCGCCATATCCGTTCTATAAAAAGATTTAGTTTCTGTATTAAAGATATGGTTTTAAATAATTTAAACATGTAAAAATTTGTAAAAAACCACCGTAAAAAACAGAAAATATTTTTGTCGATTAAATACCTTGGCTTAAAATCATAAAATTTCTTACTTACCCTGAAACCCCATTTATCCTTCACTTGCCGACATAAATTCAGATCCATCTCAGATATTATTAGACCATCTCTTGTTCTAGATAGCCCCTGTAAATAATAACAACTGTTAAAGATGGGTTCCCTTATTTTAATTTATGAAAATGAAAATGCTAATACTTTAATGAATAGAAAGCAGAGGTGTTCTAATGACTTGGAAAAATACCAGTTTGTCTCATATGTCCATAATTATATTCATAATTAGCTAAATTAGAAAGCAGAATTCCAATGAATGACCGATCAAGAAAGATCAAAAAGTCTCTTTCTTGTTTTTCCAGACTGTACATACATGGACAATTATGATTGGTAGAAACTCTGAATTATATGAAATAAGAATATAATGATATGATTAAGAATACATGATAATTTATTAGAAACACCAATTAATGAAATAGTTTGCTTAATTTGACACTGAAAAATAACGAAACCCATCTTTAAACGAATGTAAAGAGGTTTTCTATAAATCTTATGTATATCAGGAACACATTTGGCAATGATTTGCACCACTCCAAACTTCTGTCATACAATTCGACTAAAACTAAGCATGTTATGACATCACTGTTGCAAAGTGCCTTATATGATATAAATATAAGCAGATTTTGTGATAGTGACCTTATCACACATTAAGTTTTAGTGGAATTGCAAAATCCACAGATGGATGACTGAAAATTAGAATGATGTAAATTGGTGTTCTCAGTTGTGTCACCTACTCGAATCTTGAGTAAAATGCCCATGCTTCCAAGACAAGACAGGGTTAATAATATCAAACCAGTTTATCGTCCGCAAGACAGAGTGTCATCATCCAATTAGATTCATTTTCCTTCCTCTTACATGATCTGTACGAAATTATCGACTCAGTGGAAAACGATCAACTGTCGGTGAAACTCTTGACGAGGCTCTAGTAAAAAAAATCGTCAACCGAGCTTGTTCCCATGCCAGCACTATCAATATAGTTCAAATCATTAGTAAATGGTTTATATATATTTATCAGCTGGTAAATAATAGACGATTATATCCCTTGAAATTAACCTACCGGTGTTCGGCTGCCATCTGGACCAGCAAAATAACTAGAACCGTAAAAATGGCCAAAATCTTTATGAGCTGGTTTACCATCTGCAGATGTGAATTCATTTGGAAACTCTTCCTGAAAGTTGAAAAGATTTCAAAAGTCAATTATTAGAAAGTTAAACATCATTTCTAAAATAACTGTCCTGGACTCGTATTCTCGAAACAATCTTGGTCCTAGGGTCTTGATTTGTAACACTTTTTCTAAGATATCCTAGCACTTAGAGCGTTTCGAGAATACGTGGCCTGATGAGGGCTGTATATCCAAAACATATCAGCAACATAAGATGCCAATTATCTACTAGACTAAAAAATCATGGGCACTGACATGTTTCTGATCCACTATCAAAAGGTTTGGCATTTATCTTACAGATGGTCTGGTACAAAGACAATGATATCACAACAGTTGGATTATAACACTACAGTTGGAAATAATAACACTACAGTTGCAAATAATAACACTACAGTTGCAAATAATAACACTACAGTTGCAAATAATAACACTACAGTTGCAAATAATAAACACTAAAGTTGCAAATAATAACACTACAGTTGCAAATAATAACACTACAGTTGCAAATAATAACACTACAGTTGCAAATAACACTACAGCTGCAAATAATAACACTACAGTTGCAAATAATAACACTACAGTTGCAAATAATAAACACTACAGTTGCAAATAATAAACACTACAGTTGCAAATAATAACACTACATAATTGATAAAGGGAAATAACTCACTGAGCCTACTCTGTTTATACCACAAGTAAAATAACTATTGGCTATAGCTGCATTTCGTGCTTCTATCGGCCATAAAGGTTCACTGAAAAAAAATATGGATTTGAATTAAAGAAATAGAAAATAAAAAGACATGTCATACATTAAAGGGATTGTAAGTGGTTTTCTTAATTTTATCGGGGATACTGATAGTATCAATTTGTACCATTCCAATTTTCCACCAGACGTCTGTGGCTCCTGCAATTCCACTAAAACTAAATGTTTCATGCCTCACTAACTGTAAAATATGCATTTTCACATAATGCCCTTCGCGATTAGTGATTAATGAACCAAAAGTGCATTCAGTGTCTAATGCTTCTCAGAAAACACCTTTTGTTCACATCACAAAAAGAAGAAGAAATTGGCTGGCGGTATTATCAAACAGATGAATGTTCAAGAGCAGGACACCTTCAGACTCCAACTGAAGTAGCTAAATGGAAATTAAAAGGTAACCATTGAAGACGGAAAGAAAGTTTGGTTTAAGGATTATTATACTACAACATTAATACCTTAAAGCTCCAACTGTTGCTGATGGATTAAAAACGATTTCTGCCCCATTTACTCCGTACATCATCCAGTTGGGTGGGTGATGTCTCCCGTAACAAATATTGATAGCAATACGACCTGAAAACACACACAGCAATAAGGTATACAGTGGGGGTCATTTGATTCCCCTAGAAAACTTGCAACCCCCACTATGATTTTAATACTTTTTTGCACCAAAATATCTGTCAGAATGCACCAAATAATTTCAATTTTTCGTCAATTTTCTTGGGCGAACACTCCATGACGATGAGGCTACAGAGTTGCTGCATTTTGATTTCAGCTCCAGTCTAGCTAGCGCCACCACTGGAAATATACTTTAGGGCATTGTCTAAGTCGACTTTTTCTAATTCCCAACTGTCAGGGCTTCTTTAATGTACAATATTTCAGTTTTGGCTTTGAAGACCAGGTTCTATAGATCTTCAGGGAAAATATACCATTTGATATTATTCACAGATCGTTTTGAACAAATTTAATTTTGGCTAATCAAAGGAAATGATGGATCCCAAAATGCAATATGATAGCGCTTAAATTGAACCTAAATTAAAAGGATAGATAGGTTAAAAAAATCTGGTGAAAAGTGAAGGCAAGAGCTGTTGGGCAGAAAAGAGGTTGGGTGAACCCTCCAGAATGGGTTCTACTCACCAAATTGAGTCTGAAAGACGGGATGACCTGTGTCTCCTTCAAGATAATACGTTGACTGAAATACATCAATATAATGACAGTGTGTCAAAACGTTGTCATGAATCCAAACACCGAAATTTCAAAAGATACATTGCATCACACACATTAAGGTTCAAATTCACAATCCATTTGACCAATCGTACCTTGGTCTCAAAAACGGGATTTATTTTAGCTGAGCTAATAAGTAATAGCGTTCATAGCTCACTGTCGAAATTTGAGCCTTCGAATCCATGTGTGTACAGAATTTGAAAGTTAAAAAGAAAGGTTGTCAAAAAACATATAAAGAAATAACAAGTAAAATTCCTCGTTAGAAGTATTTTTGAATGAATATAAGATTTTCATACATTTCTAGAACTTCTGAGGACTATTTACAAATATTCAAGACCAAAATCAACCCCTGAAGATGGCAGAACTGTCCCTTTAATGCAACCAATTTGATATAAATATTGATTAATTTAAATAATATTTAAAGATAAAAGGAGTAAATGAGAAACCTACATTGCCCAATCAGATTAAGAAAACATAGTAGGTATCTGACTTTCTTACCTCATTAAAATCGCCAACACGGGGTATATGATTCTTGCGTGATTTACCAATTACTTCCCCTGTATTGGATATCACCACTGAAATACAACCAATAACATCATCTTTTACAATTCAATTACTGCCTCATACTTATCTAAAACTTACTGGGCCATTGAAATAAAATGGAGTTTTATATCCTATTCTTCTGTAACTCATAGACCTTATTCATTCATCAGCTGTATTGAATCCAGAACAAGGCTCATAATGCATACAAACATTCGTATCAATGTGTTACTGCATATTACCGCCACCTGGGCGTCTTTAAAGTCTCCCTCTTCAATCCCATTGACTCAAAATTATCATATTTTATGTCATTAAAATTGGAGTTGATTAAGCTACTTAATAATACTTTCAGATGAATTTTACTTCACACCATTCTAAGAAAGCACAGTTATAAGCCCATTTTCCTGCTGTTGATCGGGTTCATTGAAGTCACATAGGCTATTCCTTCATATGACGTCGCCATCTTATCCATGGATGACAAAATTTGCATTATAAACCTTGCTTTCAGTTTCTAAAGATAGTGGACCACAGCCATATACGCCCACCACTGCATGCGGATGGTAAATATTCAAGATTTTGGGGCAAGGGCAATAACTCATTTCATTTGATTCCATCAACAAATCTAGTTTTTAGAGCGTTTACAAGTAAATGTTGACGGACAGACAGGGGTGCCGACAATATATGTCGACATAGAGAGGGGTGGGCGTATAAAAACGAGGCGTGAATATGGTCTATTAGGCCATTGAAATATTGATCTATATCCTACTATTCTGTATCTGAATGGAAAATTGAAATAAAATATTGTTTTTTGTCCAATTGTTCTGTTTCTTTTTAGGCTATTGTAGAGAAGTCAATGAAAAAAACACTAAGAGATGGAACTTTATTTAGCAACAGGCTTTAAGGAGACCTAAATCTCTTTACTAGAAGTATAAGGGAAGTAACTCTAATCAAGGGAAGTAACTCTACTCATGAAAAACCTACCTGCAGTATTAGCTAAGATATCACCATGGTTTTCATCACGCTCTAATATTGGTGAAACTATTACCATATTGTATTTTCGTGCTAACTGAAATCAAAATCATAATAATGTTTATAAAACATAGAAAAATTATACTCAAACCACATTTTGTGGTAGAGATAACATTAAATAATAGAACACAATTTTACAGTGTAATACTCCTCAGTTTTATTGTACACAACGTTTCAACAATTTACATCATCATCATCAGTTTATATGGTATACTGCTCCTGAGTTTTATTGTACACAACGTTTCAACAATTTACATCGTCATCATCAGTTTATATGGTATACTACTCCTGAGTTTTATTGTACACAACGTTTCAACAATTTACATCGTCATCATCAGTTTATATGATATACTACTCCTGAGTTTTATTGTACACAACGTTTCAACAATTTACATCGTCATCATCAGTTTATATGGTATACTACTCCTGAGTTTTATTGTACACAACGTTTCAACAATTTACATCGTCATCATCAGTTTATATGATATACTACTCCTGAGTTTTATTGTACACAACATTTCAACAATTTACATCGTCATCATCAGTTTATATGGTATAATACTCCTGAGTGTTATTGTACACAATGTTTCAACAATTTACATCATCATCATCAGTTTATATGGTATACTACTTCTGAGTTTTATTGTACACAACGTTTCAACAATTTACATCGTCATCATCAGTTTATATGGTATACTACTCCTGAGTTTAATTGAACACAACGTTTCAACAATTTACATCGTCATCATCAGTTTGTATGGTATAATACTTCTGAGTTTTATTGTACACAACGTTTCAACAATTTACATTGTCATCATCAGTTTGTATGGTATACTACTCCTGGGTTTTACTGTGCACAACATTTCAACAAGTTACATTGTCATCATCAGTTTATATAGTATGATACTACTGGGTTTTATTGTACACAATGTTTCTACAATTTACATTGTCATCACCAGTTTATATGGTATACTACTCCCGAGTTTTATTGTACACAACGTTTCAACAATTTACATTGTCTTTATCAGTTTATATGGCATACTACTACTGGGTTTTACTTTGCACAGGGAGCGGCAGTGGCTCAGTGAGTTAGATGCTTGCTCGCTAATCTGAAGGTCCAGGGTTCAATCCCGGCATAGGTCGAGATAATACCTTCGGATTTTTCAACCCGATTTCCCTCTGTCACTGATGCAGGTAAGAGGGGCTGACATGGAAAAAGCGTCTAGTCGTTCGGAAAGGGACAATAAACCGAGGCCACGTGTGCCACAGGCTGTGCACGTTAAAGATCCCTCGACAGTTGGAAATCGAAAAAGAGCAGGCTAATGCCGCTGTCCTGGCAAAATTTCCCTCATGGCACCCTGCATGGCATTGCCCGTCTTCATTAGCCCACAAGGTGCAGAAGAGTAGGACGTAAAACTCCATTCATTTCATTTCATTTTTTTACTTTGCACAACGTTTCAACAATTTACATTGTCATCATCAGTTTATATGGTATAATACTCGTGAGTTTTACTGTGCACAACGTTTCAATGGTTTCAGTTTAAGATTAAGATTATTGAACTTAGTATAGCGCTCATTACTGCTCTAACGTAAGTATTCAATGGTGCTTTACAAAGTTTATATGCCATATAGTATAATTTTATGATGATGACAATGTAAAATAACCAACAACTTATTAATCAAACTGTCAGTTTTTTCAATAATATCATCAAAATGGCCAACTCTACCCTACCTCCTTCATTAAGGCTGTAGTTGGACCAGATTCAACAGTTTCAGCAAATTCACACCAGGGCTGTTTTTCACGTGTACAGAACGCAAAAGGCATGTCTGAAAATAAAAAATAAACATTTGAATTGCCATGTATCGGTGAGGGATTCTGTTATATTGCTATTACACCAGATAAGTCAACTGATGAATATATACTCTTGGCCGAGTTTGAAAATCTATATTATATGTGCATTATAGAGGTAGTATCTCATTAAAGAGATTGTAAAGAGGTTTTCTAAATTGTATATGTGTATCAGGGACACGCACCAATTTCAATTTTTAGTCAGACTTTTGTGGTTCCTGCAAAAAATAAATGTTTGATGACGTCACTAATCGCAAAATATGCTTTACCACCATCGCTTATCGTCATCAAACACTCAGTTTTAGTGGAATTGCAACAACCACAGACATTTGATTGAAAATTGAAATACATACACAAAATTTAGAAAATCTCTTTACAATCCATTTAAAGATGAGTTTTCTTATTTTTTAATGTCAAATTAAGCAAACTATTTGATTAATTGGTTTTTCTAATGAATTGTCATGTATTCTTAATCATATCATTATGTTCTTATTGGACATAATTGAGAGTTTTAACTAATCATAAATGTCCATGTATGAACAGACTGGATAAACAAAAAAAGACTTTTTGACCTTTCTTGATCGGTCACTCATTGGAATTCTGCTGGTATTTCTCTTCCAATTTAGCTAATTATGAATGAATTATAGACATATGAGACAAACTGGTATTTTTCCAAGTCATTAGAACTCCTCTACTTTCTATTCATATAAGTATTAATATTTTCATTTTCATAAATGAAGACAAGGGAACCCATCTTTAAGAGAAAGGAATTTCAATGAACTTACTCCAAGCCTCCTGAAGACAAATAATATTAACCCCACATCCTGCTGCTACTTCTATAATCTCACAGATTCTCTTCTCTAGGCTCTCACGCTGAAATATCAATACTTAATACATCAGTTACAATCACTGACACAGAATCACAATCCAAAGACAATCAATATAATACTCTAAGTAGGACAAGTGTCACTAATTTACTATAGTGTGTGGCCCATAATGCCGCTACAATAAGAATAGAAGCCCTGACCAAATTCTGAATAAAAAATAACTTTGTGGACTCTCTGAAAGAATGGCAAGTTGTCAAACCTTGTTGCAGAAAGGCATCAAAATTATAACTTACCTGTTCCTGTACTGGAGCTGTGGTAGGCAGAATGATTTTATTTTGTATGGCACCGACACGTACGATCCTGGCACTGCGAGTGCTCTCCTTTGCTGCATCAAAACCATATGCTTTGATTTCAAAATTTCTTTGTCGGGCATCATCTAATGCTTTCTGTGGTAGAGGTAGAATTCTAAAAAATAGGACAGTAGGACATACAACTTCATTTAATTTAAAAATTACAACAAATTTATTTCATATTTGACCACCCTCTAGGTTGCAATCCCAATTTGGGTAGTAATGCACTTTTCATGAGGTCAGGGACTAGTCTGAAAACTTTTTCAAAATAAACGATAAAGATGTGTTAAATAAAAATGAGTAGAAATATGAAACTCTGGTTCATTGTGAACTGTTGCAATCTGATGCTACCTGAAAAAAGGCTGGGAACCCTGGATCTAGAGCTTTATTCATGCAGTTTGGATGACGAGGGAATCTGATAAACAACCATCATCAGGACAGCTAGTTTCAGAAATGGAGGACCTTGCATGAGCGAATAGAGAGCAAACTCCCTGAATAACAAGAATATACTACAGTATGAAAACCCTTGACCAAAAATATCTGAACTAGGCCTAATGTTTATTTTATTCTGAAAGAGCTAGTGGGCATGCAACTTTAAATAGGGAAACATCATCTAGAATTTCGAGGGGGGACGAAGGTTGGTTCTGTGTCATTTTCAGACATCAAACAAATTGCATCAATTTAAAGGAAACAAATCAAAATTCTTTCAGTATTAATTGAAATTCTTTAAATTTTCCAAATCTTAGACGAAATTGACTTAATTCCAATTTGACCGACATTTCAATCCATATTCACCCCAGTCCTAAGTAAACTCGTCCATTGACCCACTGATAACTAAAAGTAAGTCAACAATACAACAAGTTCGTTTTCCGACTAAAATATTCCATGGCAAACTTTTGAGAAAGCTCAGATATCTGTATAAGGCTTACCTTAACTTTTTGCCATAAAGTAATCGTGCAACTTCATCCAATTCTGCAGCAGGGATGTGTTTTTCCAGAATATTTTCTATGCTTTCAATTTCAGCTGCCATCTTGAAGGGTGGGAGAGTTTATGTTAGAGAAAGGAGGGTGTAATTTTTTTATTAATTTGATTTGTGCAAATGTGGACATTTCGAGGAAGATAATAGCAAAAACTTTGAGGCAAATGTTAGGTTTGATTAATTTGAGTGAAATTTAATAGCAATATAAGACGAAAGTTGCAAAATAGTTAACCATGATTTCAGGATGAACCCCCTGAAAAATGAATCCTTCCCACTCTGTACCAGCTGAGAGATTTCAAGGCCAACCTCAGAGTGTTTTGAAGCAGAGTGTGCCTTGTCATAAAGGTTATATATTGAATATATTTGAGTTTAAGATAAAGACCTTGCCTGTTTTTATGAATATAAAGTAGGTTTTTAAGTCAGTCAAGTTGGAGATAAAGAATCAGTAACATTGTGGGTCACCTAACTTTAAAACTGTACAGTTATGAGATCTGCAGTAAATCATTTATAAGTTTCTCTCTACCCTAATCACCATCATCTTCATTAGATCATTAGGTACAGAAATGTAGGACGTAAAACTTCTTTCATTCTTTCATGTCATCTCCTCATTCTCAATCATTTCTCCATGAAATCTCATGTATGTTTTATATGTCTATAGATTACTAAATGATTTATTACAAACATCATACTATAAGAGTTTCTCTCCTGTATGTTTTATATAGTTCTATAGATTACTAGATGCTTTATTACAAACATCATACTAGTAGAGCTTCTCTCCTGTATGTTTTATATAGTTCTATAGATTACTAAATTCATTATTACAAACATCATACTAGTAGAGCTTCTCTCCTGTATTTTTTATATAGTTCTATAGATTACTAAATGCTTTATTACAAACATCATACTAGTAGAGTTTCTCTCCTGTATGTTTTATGTAAGTCTATAGATTACTAAATGCTTTATTACAAACATCATACTAGTAGAGTTTCTCTCCTGTATGTTTTATATAAGTCTATAGATTACTAAATGATTTACTATAAACATCATACTAGTAAAGTTTCTCTCCTGTATGTTTTATATAAGTCTATAGATTACTAAATGCTTTATTACAAACATCAAACTAGTAAATTTCTCTCCAGTATGTTTTATATGTCTATAGATTACTTAATGCTTTATTACAAACATCACACTAGTAAAGTTTCTCTCCTGTATGTTTTATATAAGTCTATAGATTACTAAATTCTTTATTACAAACATCATACTAGTAGAGCTTCTCTCCTGTATGTTTTATATAGTTCTATAGATTACTAAATGCTTTATTACAAACATCATACTAGTAGAGTTTCTCTCCTGTATGTTTTATATAGTTCTATAGATTACTAAATGCTTTATTACAAACATCATACTATAAGAGTTTCTCTCCTGTATGTTTTATATAGTTCTATAGATTACTAAATGCTTTATTACAAACATCATACTAGTAGAGCTTCTCTCCTGTATGTTTTATATAGTTCTATAGATTACTTAATGCTTTATTACAAACATCACACTAGTAAAGTTTCTCTCATGTAAGTTTTATATGTCTATAGATTACTAAATTCATTATTACAAACATCATACTATAAGAGTTTCTCTCCTGTATGTTTTATATAGTTCTATAGATTACTAAATGCTTTATTACAAACATCATACTAGTAGAGTTTCTCTCCTGTATGTTTTATATAGTTCTATAGATTACTAAATGCTTTATTACAAACATCATACTATAAGAGTTTCTCTCCTGTATGTTTTATATAGTTCTATAGATTACTAAATGCTTTATTACAAACATCATACTAGTAGAGCTTCTCTCCTGTATGTTTTATATAGTTCTATAGATTACTTAATGCTTTATTACAAACATCACACTAGTAAAGTTTCTCTCATGTAAGTTTTATGTATGTCTATAGATTACTAAATTCATTATTACAAACATCATACTAGTAAGAGTTTCTCTCCTGTATGTTTTATATAAGTCTATAGATTACTAAATGCTTTATTACAAACATCACACTAGTAGAGTTTCTCTTCTGTATGGTTTTATATAAGTCTATAGATTACTAAATGCTTTATTACAAACATCATACTATAAGAGTTTCTCTCCTGTATGTTTTATATAATTCTATAGATTACTAAATGCTTTACTATAAATATCATACTAGTAAAGTTTCTCTCCTGTATGATTTATATAAGTCTATAGATTACTAAATGATTTACTATAAACATCATACTAGTAAAGTTTCTCTCCAGTATGTTTTATATAAGTCTGTAGATTACTAAATGATTTACTATAAACATCACACTAGTAGAGTTTCTCTCCTGTATGTTTTATATAAGTCTATAGATTACTAAATGATTTACTATAAACATCATACTAGTAAAGTTTATCTCCTGTATATTTTATATAAGTATATAAATTACTAAATGATTTACTATAAACATCATACTAGTAAAGTTTCTCTCCCGTAAGTCTATAGATTACTAAATGGTTTACTATAAACATCATACTAGTAGAGTTTCTCTCCTGTATGTTTTATATAAGTCTATAGATTACTAAATGATTTACTATAAACATCATACTAGTAGAGTTTCTCTCCTGTATGTTTTGTATAAGTCTATAGATTACTAAATGATTTACTATAAACATCATACTAGTAGAGTTTCTCTCCTGTATGTTTTATATAGTTCTATAGATTACTAAATGGTTTACTATAAACATCACACTAGTAGAGTCTCTCTCCTGTATGTTTTATATAAGTCTATAGATTACTAAATGATTTACTATAAACATCACACTAGTAGAGTTTCTCTCCTGTATGCTTTATACAAGTCTATAGATTACTAAATGATTTACTATAAACATCATACTAGTAGAGTTTCTCTCCCATAAGTCTATAGATTACTAAATGGTTTACTATAAACATCACACTAGTAGAGTCTCTCTCCTGTATGTTTTATATAAGTCTATAGATTACTAAATGATTTACTATAAACATCACACTAGTAGAGTTTCTCTCCTGTATGCTTTATACAAGTCTATAGATTACTAAATGGTTTACTATAAACATCATACTAGTAGAGTTTCTCTCCTGTATGTTTTGTATAAGTCTATAGATTACTAAATGATTTACTATAAACATCATACTAGTAAAGTTTCTCTCCCGTAAGTCTATAGATTACTAAATGGTTTACTATAAACATCACACTAGTAGAGTCTCTCTCCTGTATGTTTTATATAAGTCTATAGATTACTAAATGATTTACTATAAACATCACACTAGTAGAGTTTCTCTCCTGTATGCTTTATACAAGTCTATAGATTACTAAATGATTTACTATAAACATCATACTAGTAGAGTTTCTCTCCAGTAGATTTTATATAAGTCTATAATCTGACAGACTGATGTTTGTTGTAAATAATTTACTATTTATTTCTAGTGGAGACTCTAAATCAAGTTACACAACAGTTGATGAATGAAGTACAAACTGTCTATAAACAACACGGAAAATGTAAGTTCTCATTAAGGCATTCAGGGCTCTTATTTTACTTTTTTTATCCAGTCATACCCAGTACAGCTTAAAATGGTTGTCACCAAATATCTCTTGTTGTACATTCATTAAATTGTTCAATTCAAGCGGTACCATTTTTCCTTTGATTAGCCAAAATTAAAATTTATCATGACGATCTGCAAATCAAATCAAATTGTAAATTTTTTGCTTTTAGACGGAAAATACAAATTTGTAAACTTTCTATCAAAATGAGTATATATTCATAAGTGCACTTACTTAGTGTCAAAATTATATGACAGAACCTCTCTGTAATCTTATAAATCTAAAAAACTAAGTAAATTACACAGAAACTACAGGTTATTATTGAAAAACCATTAATATTTATAAAGTATTATATGTTGTCAATTACAGGGATTCTGTTGTATAGTTATGACACCAGGAAAGTCCACTGATGAATATAATGTAGTCTTATTGGACAAATTTAGAGACTTTATTTTATGTTTATTCTAAGTGGTAGCATTTCTTTAAGCAATATGCCATAATGATAATTCAGATAGAAATAATACTCATCTGATCACAATGTTGCATTTTTTTTCAGTAACAGATGAAATTTTATCGGGGTAAGTTATCATGATTGTTTTTATAATTGGCAAGTTAATTTGTCACAAGTCAATTGGTCACATTTAAATTACCCTGAGACTAAGTTATGATTGGGGCTTCTGCCCCTTGAATGTTTCGCTGTTTATATGTGGTTTATGTGTCATTTCTACTGTTTGTTTTGATTTTTATATTCTTCATTATATGTTTTCTTTTAACGTATGTTTCTGTTTAATACTTATTATATGTATTGCAGATATTTTTAATGTATAGGACCTAGTAATCAATCAAGTTGTTTCTCAGAGTTTAACACTATGCTATCTTCAGACCTGTATTGTATGGTGAACTTGAACAGGTATGTGAAAGGTGTATGATTATAATGCGTCTAATAATGATATAAATTAATCAATATTTCAGATTGCAGTTTGTATACCAGGCTCCATTATTACCTGCCCTTGAATTGATAGATAATGAGTCTGTTACACTTCTGACATCACCGAGTGGTAGAGAAGTTTATCAGGTATAAATAACATACTCTCAGATCCAGTGAAGTTCAAATTTAGCAATATTGTATGAATGGCTTTTGGGTTATTGCCCTTGACTTAATAACGCCTTAAATTTGGCTTGGAGACAAAATAGAGGCTACAGTTTTTATCCAATCTTGATGAAACTTGATGTGCATGTCTAATTTGATGAGAATGTGGATGAGTTTAAATCTGGCTCCAATTGGTTGAGGGTTTCTTAAGTTATTGCCCTTGATATGGTTTGATTTGCAGATCGTCGTGATAAATTTTAATTACTGGCTAACCAAGTGAAATATTGATTGCAATTAGGGTTGGGTAAAATAATCGACATAATCGATTATTGTCACTAGGAATTTATAATTTCTATTATCAAATTTCATAATTGATTATATGTCAAAGATACATTTGCTCCACCCGTTTAGAAATATTAATCTCTTCCACATAGTTTCCCTTTAGCACATTAATTTTCCACAATAAGCTATAATAACCAATCAAAGCAAGAACATACTACGATTAAAAAATTACACATGAGTTTAAGAATTGTGGCATGTTTTGAATTTAGTATTTACAGGGATTCTCAATTGAATTATTTCGTTATTAATTGATTATCAGTCTGCCAGCAATAATCGATCTCATTTTGGTATTGATACCCAGTCCTAGAAGCAAATTATCATGGTAAAAGTATACTTATATATATCTGAACTTTATTTGCAGGTTGTAGGAAGTGCTGGTACAAAATATTATACCTGTTTTATATCTAGTCATTATTGTTCCTGTCCAGCTTTCAGATTCTCAGGTATAACAGTGTTGATGTGACCTTGTTAATGTTTGAATTTTATGATAATTTGGTTATATGTTTATAGCATTGACTTGTAAAATGTCTTTAAAAATCAAAGACTTGAGAGCACTAATGTTGATAATATGATGTATTTTGGTTATCGCTATTGAAAAAAAATGAGCATAACTAACTGTAAATTGATGAGATATTCATACATTCAAAGTTTACGAATTTCAAATGCATTATGAAGATTTTTAACATGAGAAATTTTGTATTATTTTGAAGATCTTTAATATACTTTTTATCAATAAAGGCTTAGTTATCATTTTTGACAGCTGCCAGTGGGTGTATGTTACCTTGTCTGGCAAGCTATCTTTCTTTTTAAAAAGGTTTGGAATTTGTGGGCATGTTTGATGGATAATGACAGGCAACATGGCTATGAAATGAATTCAATCATGAAAACATACTGAAAATAAGACAGTTAATTGCTTGAAAATTATATTTCGGATATTTTGTTTCAGTTTTGAAAAAAGAAGATTATTTATTGGTAAGCTAGTCCAACAGCCTTAACCTTAATGATTTAAGTGTTCGAATAATTGATTGGTTTAAAATTAAGTTTTGTTTGGGGTTATTTCCCTAACTGTGGTAGCAGCCCTGTCGTAAGGGTGGGATCCGTGGGGGCTGGGCCCCAGCGAGTGAGAATTAACCCCTTCAAAACCTTCTTCAGCTTAGCAGAGACTAATTCATTTACAGTATCTTTATACAAAATCAAAAAGATGAAGATTTTGATTCGTTTTTGCACCTCAAAATTGTCAGAAATGAGTTCTCTGGGGATTAATTCTTCAAATTTTCTCAGTACAAAATCTGAGCCCCAACACCAATTCATTCCTGGCTGTGTGGTAGTCCACTCCCAGATTGACTTTTACTGCGTATTCACAGTCCACCAGCAGTCCGTAATGATTGTATGTAGTTCATTTAAGCCAATCATATCACTGATGGAAAATGGCAGAGAAAAATGTTATAATTTTCACACATTGGTCAAAATAATTTTATTAAATTTTCAGTGTAAACACCTACTGGCTATAAAACTTTCTGAAGCTATGGAGAAAGTAAAAAGAAATCCAATAACAGACAACGAAATGGTTACCATCATACAGGAAGTGGAATAGAATCAAGGGAACTTACTCATTCAGGAAATAGAGTGGAATCAGGGGAACTTACTCATACAGGAAGTGGAATAGAATCACGGAAACTTACTCATTCCGGAAATGGAATAGAATCAGGGGAGCTTACTCATTCAGGAAGTGGAGTAGAATCAAGGTAACTTACTCATACAGGAAGTGGAATAGAATCAGGGGAGCTTACTCATACAAGAAGTGGAATGGAATCAGGGGAGCTTACTCATTCAGGAAGTGGAATAGAATCAAGGGAACTTACTCATACAAGAAGTGGAATGGAATCAGGGGAGCTTAATCATACAGGAAGTGGAATAGAATCAGGAGAGTTTACTCATTCAGGAAGTGGAATAGAATCAAGGAAACTAACTCATACAAGAAGTGGAATGGAATCAGGGGAGCTTACTCATACAGGAAGTGGAATGGAATCGGGGGAGCTTACTATTACAGGAAGTGGAATAGAATCTAGGAAACTAACTCATAGGACTCACTCCACTAAAATATTTAATGCAAATGATTGTATAGGAATGTAGTCCAGGCTATTTTTAGAAATCTTCTTTCTCTCTCCCTTTTGGGGTTTTTGCCTGCCTATTTTTGGGTAAAATTTGGTCTAGATTTGGAATTTGATGTCTGAAATTGCATTATCTTTCAGATTTGGTGAGATGATGAGAGACCTAAAGGTGGAAGGCTAATTCTAAAAATAGTCGTTTTATGAAGTGCCAAACTCTAGCGGATGAGTACAACCGGTAGTAGTCTACTTTCAATTTTAGTAGCTCAAAATTTTCATGGTCATCATATAATGAATTTTTTAGGAGACATTGAGAATTGGTCAGGCTTTCATTCGACATATTGGAAAGCTTTCAACGAGATTTCTGGAAAAAGTTATAGAAGGTTGAATTTCGTGTTTTAACATGGGAAGAGATGGCAAATGAATTAGTGGAGTGAGTTCATACAGGAAGTGGAATGGAATCAGGGGAGCTAACTCATACAGGAAGTGGAGTGGAATGGGGGGAGGGGGGGGAGCTTACTGATACAGGAAGTAGAATAGAATCAGGGGAGCTTACTCCACTACAGTTCATTGACAAATTCTAGACAAAATTTAGTTTCTACTATGAATGAGATGATCTATGCCCAATATAATATATTTGAAAATATTCCATATAATTTAATCTTTTGACAAAAGTTAGGAAGAATCGGTAGTGACTGACCCTGAGAAGGAAAACACCAAGAAATAAAGTTTGTAATTTATTAACAATATCATACAGTTCATTATTTAAAAAAATAATCTTCCTTAACTAAAAATAATTACTTGTGAATTGATTTATTCATCAACAAAAAACAAGAACTTGAAGTCAAAATGATCCAATTAGTCATGTCTGACGAGAGCCTCTAATGGGCTGCATTTTTCAGTCATGTCTGGCTATAACCCTAAGTAGACAAACGAGCTGCATTTTTCATTCATGTCTGATACGAGTTCTAACCAGATGATTTGATTGCATTTACCAGTCCTGTGTCAGAATTCGAGCTGAATATACCAAAGTTCTAGTTGAACACAATCTATTATAAAATTACTATTTTGTTTCTTATTATTTTTCTTTTTTTTTTTCTCGTTTAATTTTAATCTTAACAAGATTTATACTAAGGTTACGTATTGGTGACATTTCAAGCTATCTATAGCCAACATCAACAGTATGCAGCCTTGGTAAAAATATTTTTAGATTATGATGGAGACTGATGAAAAATTATAACAAAAAGATATTGTAATTTTATTTGAGTTACATGACTGTTGTACCTAATTGGATCTTTTTAACAATCAAGCCATTATGAAATATTAGTGTTAACAATAATTATGGTATGCCTGTATATAATAGTGAATTTTAGACTCAAAAGTTCATCAGGTGCTTTCCCATCATCAACTTTCAGTTTTCATCAATTGACTCGCACCAAACTTTCTTTGTTTTATTAGGTTCCATTTTTTATATAGCCACTTAAGTTAGCGTCTAACGACAAGGCCTCTTGAACATTCGTTGACATCTGCTTTAACCAAACAAATTTCTACAATCTTCAGCGCTGACATTTTGTGACAGTGTTTATCAGGTTCGGTCAAACACTTAATTTGACGAACATTCAAGAGGGCTGTTGTTAGACCCTAACTGAAGTGGCGCATATACAAAAATATATACGAAGTTTTGGTATTAATTTAATTAGACTGTATCTCAATTGATTACTGCTTTTTACTACTGAAATATCCTTATTGTGGGAGAGCAGTATACTTCTTAATAAATGTACTTTTCTGTGAGCCTACAGAAAATAACCCATTCAAATTATTGCATTTAAGGGAAGAAAAAGGGTGATATATGTTTTTGAGAAAAAGACACATATTTAAGTATATAACAATAGGAAATAATCTTAACAAGAAACAATTTTCTGTACATTAAAATTACCTGAGTGCCTGATAACTGCCCTGCATATAGTTGTGGGCTTTTAAATACCATTAAAAAAAAATTGTCTCCCCCTGCAGTTAACTCTCAGAAAGTTACTGATATTACACAACTTAATCCTTGTAAGACATTTAGAAGTATCACAGCACATTAAGATACAACAGCTTTATGGATATAGACTTCTATTGATGAATGATGTGTTAGTAATGAAACACTGTGTTTAAAGATGGATTGCCTTATTTTTTAGCGTCAAATTAAGCAAACTATTTGATTAATTGGTGTTTCTAATGAATTACCATGTATTCTTAATCATATCATTATATTCTTATTGAATCTAAGTAAGAGTTTTAACCATGTATGTTTGTCCATGTATGTACAGTCTGGATAAACAAAAAAGACTTTTTAACCTTTCTTGATCAGCCACTCATTGTAATTTTGCTGGTAATTCTCTTCTAATTTATCTAATTATGAATTAATTATGGACATATGAGACAAACTGGTATTTTTACAAGTCATTAAAATTCCTCTTAAGTATTAGCATTTTCATTTTCATACATGAGAATAAAGGAAGCCATCTTTAAATAATCAATATTCATAAAACTGTTGTTTCTTAATAATTACACTACTTGTTTGATAGAATAAGAAATTGCTAAGTAATCTTTTTCTGACTAAACACAATGGTTGGCAGGTACAGTTAGGGACGATTATTTCTTGATCATTTTGCAGATGAGTAGATCAAAAAGATTCATGTTGATAACAAACATCACTACTTTAGAAAATGAACTCATCCTGAACTGTATCGCATTAATTGAAAGTATGCATGTGTGGAAGAGTTCATTATAATATAATGGGTACATCTTGTGCCAGAAGCTTCATACTATCATGACAAATGATGTCCAAATATTTCCTAAATCTAAAAGCAGATGTTCTCTTGAGCACTTCGTTTAAAATCAAATAAATTAAAATGATTTTTGATATTTACAATTTATGAACCATTTTAAAATATGAATTTCATATTAAATCACTATCAAATATTACTGTGGTATTATAGAAGCAATGAAAAATCAGCTTTTATTTGCAAAATGAAATGAATAGAGTTTTAGACCCAACTTTTACACCCTATGGTGTGTGCAATGAGGGAAATTTTGCCAGGACAGTGGTGGCATTTGCCTACTCTTTTTTGATTTCCAGCTGTTAAGAGATCTTTAAGGTGGAGAGCTTGTAGCACACTGGGCTTCTTTTATTTGCAAATGTCAAAACTTTGAAATAAAACTATGTGAAGGCATAGAAGAGCCCATATTTAAAGAAAATCAGATCTGTGTCAACATTGTGTAAGAAAAAATCATGGGTAACAATAGCACAATTAAAATGAAATATTAAAAAAAAAATGATTAACAACTTTCTAAAATGTAAAAACTTAAAACACAGCCCTATGACTGGCTACCACGTAGTCTCTTAGCAACCGGACAGTCTTCATCTTTTTCTAATTTTCTTTTCATGGACATGGACATTTTGTTCGTTGTTTTAGATGAATCTGATTTCCGTGTCGACAGCTTTGCTTTCAAAACCGTCCTGTTATTTTTCCTGTCATTGTTTGTCACTGATTTTTTACTACGTAAGTTTTTCTTGGCACTTAAGGAATGTGAATTGTTTTGATCCCTCACTCGGAGTCGAGTTCCAAGCCGCACATTTTGATATGTATTCGGTCCGTTCTCATAACCTGATTTTCTCAGAGAAAGTTTCGATTTGGACGATTTCAGTTTCACATGTCGACTGTGTACACTATTTTGACTGTTCCGTAATATTCCTGGATATTCTGAATTGGATGTCCCATATTTAGAAGGAATCGAAGTGTCCGATTTTCGTAATCGCATGGAATGCATACCTATATTCAGAGCACCAAATTTAGAAAATTCTGAATTTTCAGCAAGAGTGTCTCTAGGCTCGGAGGGTTTATCAGGCGTCAACGAATCTGCCAGGGACGAAATTGTCGCAGCATTGCCTGCCTGAATACTGTCGTTCATTTCCGAATTTAAAATCTGAGGAAATAATGAAAGCTTTCTCGCCCTTTTGGGTTGTTTCTTCATAGAGTCCAGATTTTGTTCGGAATCATTTTTGCTCGAGGAACTCTCGGATTGGTCTTCCTTATTTGGCAGTAATTTAGATGGGGCACTATTTGGTGGGATCACAGAACGGGGCTCACAGATGGGTGTGGTGGGAATAAATGGTAAGTGAGTCGGAGATGAGACAGAGTTATCTTCATACTCCTTCTGGACGTTCGGTGTAACCTCAGCAGCTTTCGACAGGGCTTTAATTCTCATATCTTCTCGTAGTTTTGCAAAATGCTCTTCTCGTTTTTTCCGAAGTATTGTCAGACGACTGGGCCCTAGGGGGTCAATAAACACCACAATTGAACTTGTATTATCAGCACGTAACCCCCGGGCTTTCCATTTCCTTAAACTAAGAGCTACCAGTCTTTCTGCTGGGTTGATCCAATAGCTTACTGTTGCTGACTAAAATAGACAAATACAGCAAATTATTTCAATCATAATTTTTTAATAGAAATACTGCTATCAAATACTTTACATAGGTTGAGTTTTTTTCAATTAAACCAATGGCTTCTTATTGACAAAAATATTTTGAGTCTGTAAAGGAACATTAATAACACAATTCTTGATCATTTCATTTGAGAAATAGAAGTATTAAAATATGAGAATCATTCAAAACTGATGTCCTAAATTTAAATTTTCTTTACTTACTGGATCATAAACAACTCTATCTTCAAAATGATATTCCAAATCTGTAACTACGGAAACAGCCTCTTCTGGTGACACCATATTCCACAAACCATCTGATCCTAATATGATACATTTATGAATCGATGGATCTAGTTTATGAACACTCACATCTGGTTCAGGCGATACGACGAACTCTTCTGTGATATAATCATAACTCCATAAATCTCCTGAAAGTTAAACAGACAAGTTACAATTGACGGACAGAAATGGAGTTTTAATTCTTAGTATTCGGTATACAACTTTACAGGCCCATAGCTACAGGCTGGAAAGGGGAACTAAGATAATTGAATTGCCCCCATTCAAAATCATTCTGACAACCAACCAATTCCATTAATGCAACTAAACACCATACACCATTGTTGTTATTTCAATGAGTTATTGTATTTGCCATCCATGATATTATGAGATTCTTCTTCAATCCTGTTCTCTAGAATTTTGGCATAAAAGATGTCATAATTCATGCTAACCAATTAAAAATATTGTTAAAGTAGTTAGAAAAAAATTATTTGATGTTTTACAATAAAAATCCAGCAGTATTCCTCACAAAGAGTAAAAAAGTAGTACAAGTTGACATCGATGCATCTTCAAGAGCAAACAGACTGCCACAGTATTCAACATTAATGTATACTTTTGAATTGAAAAGCACTGTGGTCTGAGTTACCAAAATAAAATGGAGTTATCTCCCTCCTATCAACCACTGTATTATCTAGCTTGTTACCCTTATTTTAGGTTCTCTCATTGTAATTCTACTTCTTAACAAAGATAAACACAGATTTTAACAAATGCAGTAATCTTATTGGATAATAAAAACTAAATTTGAATTCAGTTATAGTGAATGACCAATAAGATGACTTGACCACATTGGAAGTTAAGTCTTTGAGAAAGACCAAGACTCATATAGCTAACTATGTCTTACCTAGAGATCTGGCCACAGCTAGAAATGGTATTTTATCTATTGGTGTGCTCCGTCGTATCGGACCTTTATGGTTCCATTTCGGTCGATTCCAAACTACTCTCTGTACTCCTGATTTAGCTACAACCTCACCCCCGCTACTTTCAATTCTCTTCTTCTCATGTGGACATTCTGGTTTGTGATCCTGATGAAAAAATTACATATTCATAGATTAGTACCAAAGTAAGTTTGACAGATAGAGGACAAGGCGAATAAGTTTAAAAGCATACACATGTAGTTTTAAATTCTGATCATTAAACTATGTACTAATGTTTCTGCTTGTGCCATGAGTTAGCGCTTGGGTAGCTCCATGAGTTAAATGCTAGCTCACTGACCTAGATATGAAATACATTAAGATACCTAAGCCTCCAGATTTTTCAACTTAAGTTTTTTCACCTGTCAATGATATAGGTCCAGTTGTACTCTTGTTTCATTTTACAGAATATCATTCATTCATAAATTGATCCATCAAAGACTCTTTAAATTCAGGATTTTATTCTTTTTGACAGATTTGTGACATTGTTTGAAAGTCGACATCAGGACAACTCTCAAAACCAATGAATGTGGCTTCAGAATTTTTTTTTGCTTTAAGGACGAATCAAAACCCACTGCACCTTTTCAATTAACAGACCATAATCTAACTCACTAGAATAAAGATTGAGCTATTCCACTGCAAGATTTGTGTTTAACAGACAACCCCTCCGAGAAAAATTTTAAATCTTCATTTTTCTCAAAAACAGATTTTTCTTACTCACCTTAGTTAAACAGTCAGCTTTCATGACAATAGCATTATTTTTACCAACATCTGAGCCTAATACTATAGCTGAATCTCCAACATGTCCAATATAAATCTTAGAGTTTCTAACAAAGGCTACACTACATGTAGTTCCAGCTGTACTTGGATAACCAGACAATCTTTTTGGCCATTTATCTGAAATGGACAAACAATATTGACATCAAAAATGTAAAAATGTTGGTTGACATATATGGAAGAACACTTTTGATTATGTTGATTTTTTAATGTTAGCCTTATTATTAACAGTTTGTAAGCTGTAAATTACATGTTCACTATTTCAATAAGTTCTAAACAATATTCATTTCAAAAATTTATATCTCTCTTTATTAGGCTGTGTGTTAAAGATATAAAGCCAGTATCAGGAAAAGCTAGTTTATGGTTAAGCTGATATTGTTAATCTATTTTGTAAGCCTAAATTAACTAATTGCTCATAATTTTAGCTGTAAATTACGAGTTCATATCTCTTCCTAATAGTTCTTTTTAATAACCTAGCAATGTATCTTGAAATAAAAAATGTAGCTGTGAAGTTTGTGCACAAACCATTAAATTCTAAATGAGAAATTTCTGATATCAAGCATGGCTATTTAATAATGTACATAGTTACTATGTTGTTTCAAAAGAAATGTGTTATGATTTGTATACAGTGGCACAATAATAAGGATCCAAAAATCAATGATTGGCTTTCATTTAATTAAATCAATTATCAACTTTCAATTTCTTTTAATTCAATTCTTACAGTTAACTATGTAATTATCTTATCATGAATCTTCATTGTGACCTAGGCCAGTGCTTTTATGAGTCTATTTTTTTAACATTCAGAAAAATCAATAAATTTTAATCACTTTTACTTAATGAATGGGATTATGATTAGATAATATGAGAAAAACCCATTTGTGATCGACTTACTATTACTTTCATTTTGTTTTGTAACAACATTGACCTTTGACCTGAATTTCTAGACTACTTCGCGGAGTCGGGAAATAATCATCATGACGCCGTTATCAATTTAATTTTTTACATCAGCTGATTTCAAATTTTCCCACTAAAAATATCAACTACGTACTTTTAAATGTTTGCTCAAACTCAATTAGATTTAACGGGATAATCTGTTATCTAAGTCAGGGACAAGTCTTGACTCGTCAATCCGACAAGAAACGAGTTTATGGAGGTCAAACGACGACCAGCCACATTATCGAGCGCCTCAAATCAAAACATGGCTGGTTACGAAAATGCGCGCGATTTGTAATTTGAAAAACCAAAATAAACACCATTCCTGTTGTCGAAATTCAAAGACCAAGGTGTCAAAATATTGTATGGAAACTGGGGTTGAAAATAAAACTAAATTTATAAGAAACCGTCCGCTGAAAGCGACACGTTTTTGAGAAAGGTCAATGTATAAAATCGCGAAGAAACACACCCAGCGCAACATTCAAACCCTCGACAATGTCAACATTTTATACCCCTACCTCCATTGTTTTAAGATTTCCAACACTTACCAAGTTCTTTCCACATTGCATGATGAGTGTCCAAGAATCCTGATTTAATGGCCCACAACACATCTTCGTCATTATCACTCCAGAAACTGTCAAATTTTATAATTTCGTCGAGAAGGTTATCTCTCGCAAATCGAGAAGCCTCCGCTCCGCCATGTCCATCAAAGATTCCGAAATATGCAAAGTCGTAATCTTTCCCGTCTGTTTTGTAGAATTTGAACGAATGGGTATCTTCCATATATTTCCGACCACCTTGGTTACAATTTCCAGAAACCCTGAGGTTCACACCAATTTTATGACTTGTCATTTTAGATTAGAAGTTGTTTCGTGTCGACATGAAATCCTCCATTACAACTGACATGATACTGGATTCTGATTGGTTGATATATGAAATTGACCTCTAGAGGTCAGATCTATAAATAGAAATTGCGCGTCATTCCCGTTTTAGATATTCCATCACCATGATACACTCCTTTCTAAGGGAATTCCGCTGTGACTTCCCCAATTTCGGCTCGTGAGAAAGGCTTGGAAATGACAAGCAAGTTGAAAAAAGATAAATAAAAGGAAATATTCATGTTGGCTAAATATCACTTTGATGCTACTCCATCCCAGAAAACGACACCCTACATTTTGTATGTTTTGCGGCTCTTTCTGCAACCTTAAGACTTTTCAAATAAAATTTATGGGAGCCGACATTCGTCAATAATAACTATGAAAGGCTAGGTAAGGAGGTAAGAGTCTACAGAATCTAGCTAGCCGAAAAACTGTCAACAATAGCCCAGCGGCGCTTTTACAGGGGCATTTTCAAAATTTACAATTTACATACTGCAAGAATAAACTGTGCCCCCCCCCCCCCCCCCCCCCTTGCCCCCAGCAGGTTTCTAGCTAACCAACAACTGCCAACAATATCTATCAGAGGCTATGTAAGAGTCAGCAGGTTTCTAGTTAGCCAACAACTGTCAACAATATTTATCAGAGGCTAGGTAAGAGTCAGCAGGTTTCTAGCTAACCGACAACTGCCAACAATATCTATCAGAGGCTGGGTAAGAGTCAGCAGGTTTCTAGCTAGCCAACAACTGTCAACAATATTTATCAGAGGCTAGGTAAGGGTCAGCAGGTTTCTAGCTAACCGACAACTGCCAACAATATCTATCAGAGGCTGGGTAAGAGTCAGCAGGTTTCTAGCTAACCGACAACTGCCAACAATATCTATCAGAGGTTGGGTAAGAGTCAGCAAGTTTCTAGCTATAGCCAACAACTGTCACCAATATCTATCAGAGGCTGGGTAAGAGTCAGCAGGTTTCTTGGTAGTCGACAACTGTCAACAATAGCTATCAGAGGCTAGGTAAGAGTCAGCAGGTTTCTAGCATGCCGGCAACTGTCAACAATATCTATCAGAGACTGCGTGAGAGTCAGCAAGTTTCTAGCTGGCTGACAACTGTCACCAATATCCATCAGAGGCTAAAGTCATCAGTTTTCAACCGCAAGTTTTACGGGGACATATCTCATAACTAGATTAGAAATTCGGGCAACATCCAACTAAGGGGGGCAGTTTAGGTAACACCCTACCCTCACGGAAAACTTTGTGAATTGTTACGTATTACAGTGGTGCTCTCTATAGAGTTATAGCTATCTTTATTGCTGCCGAGGACACCCATTGGAAGCCTGGAAACACGTTTTTCTGAAGTCTGTGGACCTCCTCCAGATTTCTTTTAGAGAATTTGACTCCCTGAAACGAGATTTCCTGGCGAATTTAAGGTTTATTTGTATAGGGACTGTGGGACCACCACAAGAAAATTTTAAGAATAAGACGCCCGAAAACGCGATTTACTGACATTTAAGGCAAATATCTGAGGTTGCCCGAATTTCTAACCTATTTGTGAAAAAAACTTGCTTTCGGGACCGCGAGGGGGGCGGCTGCCCTTCTTTGACTCCACCACTGTACATTCATTCAAACACTCAGACATTTTTTAAGACGAAAACGTATAAAAAGAATATTTGTAGCAGAAATGAAGGTGGGGGGCAAAAAGGGGTTACAAACCATTTTTCTAACTTTGTATAATAAAATAGACTCATAGCGCGAAAAAAATCAATTTCATTTCATTAGCACAATTGATTTACCGCAATAAAAAGTAAAACTACAATATGTGTTAGGCCTTTTGGTACAATATGAAATGAACACAGATGTAATTTATAAATTTCCCAATTCATTTCATTCTTAATTTTTCCACACAAGTGTAAATTATTCGTTTTATCTCTCAATCACCAAATGGTATAATTTAGTTAATGGATTGTACGAAACCTTTCAAATTTGTGCGCAATGAGGATGCGCAAATGGTTAAAATGGCCGGTAAATGAAATATTGACATTTGTTTTTCAAATGAAATTTCAAATAAACGGCCCTTTGTTCAACGATTGTGATAAAATCAGAATTTATGTGCACAGTTTTTGCAAAATTGTGAGCTAAAGTATTGTTGTAAGTACAACCTATTGTGCAAAGAAAAAAAAAGAAAAAGAAAATATTTAATTTTTTCTAAATGTAAAAATCAAAACAAATCAAATTGAAAAATAAAATGACAGGTGACATGAGCATAGAATTCTTTTAAAATGCACAGGACGTGGTAACTAAGCTTGATCTAGTCCTGTATGAATCTTGGAACTGTGAAATTAAGCTTATGAATACAGACAATCATCTAATCACTTTAAAGAAAGCCTGTAAATAATAAGCCATAGTGTTCACAACTTTTTAGTCACAGGTTCTTATTGGTTGTATTTGCTAGTGTATATCGAATCGCTTTAAAACTAAAACAGTGGCTATTTTAGTCAAGGTATAAGACAAAGTTTGTAATACCTTGATCAATGTGAAGTTGTATGAATCGAATGTAAGCTATAAGCTTATGATATTTTTATGATTTTTCGGAAATAATGTTTTAATATTTTACTTTGATTTAGATTGTTAATATTGATGAGAAGAAGAATAGGTTGTTACATTAGAGAGTTTAAGATGAGTGTGGCAGATTAAAAAGTTCTCAGATTTCACAGTTGTTATTCTTCACAGGTAATTCAACATTTTCTATTTCAAATTCATTCTTCAGACATTTTCAGAACTTATTTTTCAGATAATCAATCTGAATCAGGATCAGCTTCAACAGAGTCATTACCATCATCCTTTGAAATAAAGAAGTTCGAATTAAAATGAACTCAAAGGTTGTTCTATGTACATTAATGTCTTGTGTACAATCAGTACTGTACTCTTAGCTTCCATTTTTGAAAAGCTTACTTTTGTATGTATGGGGACACATAAAAAAACACTAATAGCTTTCATTTGCTTCATTCTAATTTCTCATCCAAAGTCTGTGGTTCCTGTAAATTTCCAAAGAAATTCATTATATAGATTATCACATAGCTTATGGTATTAAAACATGGATATGATAAGAGTTTTTAGCTAAGCTTATCAGCAATAGGGAGAATGAGAATATGTACCTACTGGAATATTCTGCTGAAGCTACCAAATAGATATCAGCACCTCTTCAAACACACTAGCCAGGAAAATGCAATATTTATCCCAAATAGACTACAGAATAGATGTATTCAAATACTGATGTAAAGGTTGAAATTCAGACATCATGCATGGAAATGAAGGCAATAGCATGTAAGTTAGAATGTGATCATTTAGACAGTCAACATGGCACCCCTAGACTTAAAAAGTAATCTAGTTATCTATCAATAATAAATATTTAGCAATATTTATCTCAAATGGACTATAGATGTCCTCAAATACTGATGTAAAGTTTAAGGTCAGATATGAATAGAAATGAAGGCAATAGGAAGTTAGTTAGAAACCGAATCGTTTCAACAGTAAATCAAGACACCCTTCTAGGCATAAACTGGCCAGGAAATTGTACAGTATTTATCCCAAATGGGTTAAAGATGTCCTCAAATACTGGTTGAGTTCAAGGTCAAATATGAATATAAAGTAGGCAATTGGAAGGATAATTTAAACAATGAACTGTGATACTCCTAGTATTCGGATATCGTCTGGCAGATTAGTCAGTATTTATCCAAAATGGGCTACATGAGAAGTCAGACATGAGAAGAAATGAAGGCAATTCACCAATCTGCAAGAACAGCTTAAACTCCACCCACCTAGATACAGTTGTTAATCATCACAAACCTCTCCCCAATCTTTCTGGATATCTTTCGTCTGCATTGCCCATGCACACCTCAATACCATTTTGTCCTCAAATACTGATGTAAAGTTCAAGGTCAGATATGAGTAGAAATGAAGGCAATAGGAAGTTAGTTTGTATTGTTACTGCTAGAAAACAGGAAAAACATCCTCAATGGAACAATAGACTTCACCCAACACACAATCTCTACTTGTATAGTGATATTATGGCATGCATAAGCTTAGCTTTTATTGATCTGAGTCACGTTTTGCCCAGATTTTCAGAGAATTGAAGTGAGTGTTCATATTTGACAAATTTCCTTGTAATTGTCAGCTTGTTTCCATTGTGTTTTTGCAACTTTAAACTTGGTTTTGAAGAACTTTATATGCTATGTTTAATTAGGATACATAACTTTTTTAATGATTTAAGAATAGGTAGAGGATAATTATGTTGTGCACACATGTTTTGGATAAAAAATCCTCATCAGGACAATCGGTTTGGATATAAAGTGGTAGCTGTAATATTAGAATAAAAAAAATTAAAACAGAACTTGTATTATTGTGTTACTCCGATTTTCACTTTATGCGATCTTCAGGCAACTGACCTGTTTTCAGCCTGCATCCCTACTGAAGTTGAATATTAGGATTAATGGAACTCATTGATCAGGATAATAGTAATATTCCTGCTACAGGAAGTTGATACTCTTCTGTACACTGTCAAAGAGAGTGATAATTTGAAATGATGGGCTCATCAAAGGTATGTCAATATGTCTATATATTATTATCATATTCATATATTTTCATCACTAGAAATAGCAAAACAGAACCTGAAACATGTTACTCAGAGTTTAACACTGTGTGATCTTCAGACAACTGACCTATTTCAGCCTGCATCCCTTGGATGGACAAGTAGAATTTATTCTCATGTCTACACTTGGATCATTATATGTGATATAAGAGGAGATATATTAAGAATCCAAACTAAAATTGAAACTACAGATTAAGGGTTTGAATGGTAACCTGATATATGCAAAGGTATTATTGCCTGTCTATAGTTTGGCTATTGCGACAACAGACCACTGTTAACTATTGATTTCACATTTTCATCTGATTACCTCCCTTTTATAGCCTGTGTTGTTTATCTGCAGTCATTTGTTCAATTTTTTGTCAAATTTTTGAATTTATAG